GTATGTGTGTGTGTAAATGTATACATTTAAAAACGAATTAATATATTTTTCCAACACATTAAAGGGATAGATCACCTAAAAATGCCCCTCATGTTATTTCCAACCTGTATGCTTGCTTTGTTTTAAGAAATACAAATGAAGACAGACTGCAGAATGTCGAGATTATTTTTCATTCCAAGGCTGTTGAATTTCAAAAATGACAATAAAATGCACAATAACAGTTCATGCGACTGGTGCACTATATTTCAGTTCTTCAGATGCCATATGATAGCTTTTGTGATAAACAGATGAAAATCATATCAATGTTCACTGAGAAAATATGATGGGTGCTTGTATTGTAGGCCTTTCAATTTAGTGGTTTAATTTAGGGTGATTAATAATAAACACACTAATTATCATACTTTGTGATGTTTTATAATTTATAAGTTGCTTTATATAAGAGGGTCTGCTTAATTAAAAACGTACATGTAATTAAAAACAAACTTTATGTAATTAATCACAAAAAAATCTGTATTAAGGGATCCTTCTGCTGTTTAAGCTCAATCAAACGCTTTTGTAATTAATTCTTTGCATAATTCATTTTAAAAATAATTGACAGTCTGATAACTGATAATGATGCACTAGTTTGAATATGGAAATGCAATTAAGATTGGAAAGCAGACTAAATTATTTTATGGCTCCAGAAGACTGGATGAACAACTTTTATGGTGCTTTTTTGTCCTTTTGGAACTTGAAAGCATCCATTCCTATTCATGTAACTTTTATTATTGTATAGAAAACAGCAGCCGGGACGTTCTGCTAAACTTCTCCATTTGTGTTTCACAGAAGAAAGAAAGTTGTAAGGGTTTGGAACAACATGAAGGTGAGTAAATGATGACGGACTATCTCTTCAACCCTTTAGCCTGACATATGATATAATAATCCGAAAAATTTGATTTATTGCAATGGAACAGTTTATCAAATCTTTAGACAAAATATCGGAAAGAAAAGTTTGCATGTGTGTTTTTTGTTGAGTATCATTTGATCCATCATGCTTTTATGTCTCATAATATAGTGAGAATATGGAGGGGGGTATTCAGAGAAAAAATACCCAATTTGGTGCAGATACTGATATTTATACACTCTAAAAAATGCTGGGTTAAATACAACCCAGTGCTGGGTAAAATAGGGACAAGCCCAGCAATTGGGCTGTTTTGACCCAGCGGTTTGATTAAATGTTTAACCCAACCTTCTGGGTAGTAACCCAACCACTGGGTCAAAACAACCCAATTGCTGGGTTTGTCCCCATTTTACCCAGCACTGGGTTGTATTTAACCCAGCATTTTTTAGAGTGTATGGACAAAAAGTAAGATGAAATTCTTGTGATGTAAATCAATGAGATATATCAGTATAGCAGATATTTACATAAAATGACAAATATCAGTTGTCACTCTATACCTGCCAATAATATGTCTTACACTCTAAAAAATGCTGGGTTAAATATAACCCAGCGCTGGGTTAAAAAGGGACAAACCCAGGTATTGGGTTGTTTTGACCCAGCGGTTGGGTTCAAAACAACACAACCGCTGGGTCAAAACAACCCAATAGCTTGGTTTGTCCCTTTTTAACCCAGCATTTTTTAGTGTGTAGTAAGATGATATTTAAATGCTTACATTTATGATCAAAACATAATGCAATGCATTATGCAACACAATGATGATTGATGCATGTATGATCAAGTAAACCAAAGTTGCTATAAAAGTTATTCTTACATTTACTTTATAAACATCAGTATAGATTTGACAGCAAAAAAGGCATGTGAAGCCCGAGCTAAATGTGGGTGTATGTACAATTATACTAAAAGGCCTTTTACTTGCTAAAAAAAAATCAATCAGACGTCAGAAGGCATGCAGTAGATTGTGTGCAACAGGTTTTTCAGCAACGGTTTGATCATGTTGATATGTGGCTTTATATTTTTCTGCTGTCACAGGGTTAAATGTGATTTATTTTTCTGTCCTGTCCCAGAATAACCAAATCACTGAGGTCACGCTGGAGCATCTGTCACGTCTTCAGCAACTGGAGACCCTAAACCTACAGAACAACCGGCTCACGACACAAGGTACGGCTGATGAGAGGGTCAAGGGAGTACAGCGGCTGAAAACAGCACAGCATAATCTGTTACAGAGGGTCAGGATGAGAGCGAGAGAGAGATAAGAGTGCAGGATGGAGGGATGCAGAAGGGAAGTGTGCTGAAAGAGCTGCTGGCTTTGGATCGCACTCTTTCCTGCATGTGTGGTCAACATGACTGTTTGAGATGGAAATGTTTTTATTTCAATAAATCGGCAGAAACATCCGATTACTTTAATTTAAAGCACAAGCGTGGCCAAAAATGAAATTCTTGATATTATTTACCCCCTCTCAAGTTGTTCAAACACACATGCTGTTCCATACATGTACACAAGGATGCATTAAATTAATCAAAAGTGACAGTAAAGACATTTATAATGTAACAAAAGATTTCCGTTTCAAAAATGTGCAGTTCTTTTAAACTTTCTATTCATCAAAGGATCCTAAACAAAATATGAAGCGGGACAACTGTTTTCAACATTGATAATAATCAGAAATGTTTCTTGAGCAGCAAATCAGAATATTATACTGATTTCTGAAGGATCATGTGACACTGAAGACTGGAGGAATGATGCTGAAAATTCAGCTTTGATCAGAGAAATAAATGACATTTTACAATGTAAACAAAAAGAAAACAGTTATTTGAAAGTATAATAATATTTCACAATATTACTGTTTTTACTGTATCTTTGATTAAATAAATGCAGCCTTGGTGAACATAAGAGACTTTTAAAAAATGTCCAGGCTTTTGAATGGTATAGTGTTTATGTATATATAGCTTAGATAAACATTAATAATTCTTGAAATTAAACATGAAATGAAGGTGAATAACGTGCAAGCAATGACGTGTGTGTGTGCGTGTGTGTGTGTGTGTGTGTGTGTGTGTGCAGGCCTTGACGATGAAGGGTTTCATATTCTGGAAAGGCTGAGTTATTTATACTTGGCAAATAATAAGGTGAGTCATCGATGTTTATTCTCAAACTCTCATCTCTCTCTCTCTCTCTCTCTCTCTCTCTCTCTCTCTCTCTCTCTCGGGTCAGGATGAGAGCGAGAGAGAGATAAGAGTGCAGGATGGAGGGATGCAGAAGGGAAGTGTGCTGAAAGAGCTGCTGGCTTTGGATCGCACTCTTTCCTGCATGTGTGGTCAACATGACTGTTTGAGATGGAAATGTTTTTATTTCAATAAATCGGCAGAAACATCCGATTACTTTAATTTAAAGCACAAGCGTGGCCAAAAATGAAATTCTTGATATTATTTACCCCCTCTCAAGTTGTTCAAACACACATGCTGTTCCATACATGTACACAAGGATGCATTAAATTAATCAAAAGTGACAGTAAAGACATTTATAATGTAACAAAAGATTTCCGTTTCAAAAATGTGCAGTTCTTTTAAACTTTCTATTCATCAAAGGATCCTAAACAAAATATGAAGCGGGACAACTGTTTTCAACATTGATAATAATCAGAAATGTTTCTTGAGCAGCAAATCAGAATATTATACTGATTTCTGAAGGATCATGTGACACTGAAGACTGGAGGAATGATGCTGAAAATTCAGCTTATGTTTCTTGAGCAGCAAATCAGAATATTATACTGATTTCTGAAGGATCATGTGACACTGAAGATTGGAGGAATGATGCTGAAAATTCAGCTTTGATCAGAGAAATAAATGACATTTTACAATGTAAACAAAAAGAAAACAGTTATTTGAAAGTATAATAATATTTCACAATATTACTGTTTTTACTGTATCTTTGATTAAATAAATGCAGCCTTGGTGAACATAAGAGACTTTTAAAAAATGTCCAGGCTTTTGAATGGTATAGTGTTTATGTATATATAGCTTAGATAAACATTAATAATTCTTGAAATTAAACATGAAATGAAGGTGAATAACGTGCAAGCAATGACGTGTGTGTGTGCGTGTGTGTGTGTGTGTGTGTGTGTGCAGGCCTTGACGATGAAGGGTTTCATATTCTGGAAAGGCTGAGTTATTTATACTTGGCAAATAATAAGGTGAGTCATCGATGTTTATTCTCAAACTCTCATCTCTCTCTCTCTCTCTCTCTCTCTCTCTCTCTCTCTCCTTTTTTCAGTAACTTGAATGCAGATCACAGGCTCAGATGTGAAGCTTTCATTGGCTTGAGTTTAATGAGGGTATATCCTACATTTTCTCCCTGAACATATATCATTTTAAGAAAAGGTTTTGCACCAAATCAGTTGTAATTTAGTATTCCATCACTATTTTTCCATGCTTAGAATTAGTTGGTTTTTTGCTACCCCGGGTCCTAACCGCCACACCTTGTTCTTGTTCCGAGTGGGTCTCGAACCCAGGTCTCCGGCCATGGGAGGTAGAGTTGAGATCAGGGGAGTTAGGTTTACCTGCACAGCACCTACCCGCTGGCCTCCGTTACACACGCTTTTCACAACAAACTAAAAACAGAATTAGATGAGTCTACAAATAAAACCTCTAAAGTGTAGTTTCATTTAATGCCAGGGGTTTCGGTCACGGCCCCTGAGAGTGACTCACTAACATTCGCTTTCCAAGACCGAAGCCTTTCCCATGTCTGTTTAACGTTGACTGGTGGGAACTGTAGTTTGATGTTTATGTTGGTCATGAGACAGTCAGTCGTGTTCTGTTATTGACAGCCAGTTTGGCACGAGCAGCTCCTCTCAATCCCTCATTCCGTCAGTGCTGTGGATTGTTCTTATGCCAGCTGGTAACAGCGATGGCAAGGCTTTAACGCGCACACATACTCTCTGGACGTACCATGCCAGCTTTCCCCGTTAATCACCCAGCTGTGTGTGCCAGGCGGCGGGAGCTAAAGTGGTCCCGGCGACCTCCAGAGCGTGCCCTGGACAGATTTGTAGCTGATGGACTTAAAAAGGATAACGGCAAGAGAAAGAAATCCTACTGAGATTTGATCCGACACTGGCCAGTGTAATCTCACCATCCTGCTGGAAAAGCAAGACAAAAATGCACCAATGAAAGCCAAAGCAAACGGCAGAATCATGCGTGCCGATGCAAATTTTTGCTGTTGATTATGTTGGACATGTAACATTCATTCTTCAGTAAATTTGGCAAAGTTTACTATCTTCGTGGCTTAAAATACATGCAAGATATTCAGACTTGTTCTAGGCACTTAATAGCATAATCTGTACTTTTTTACTTTTGTACATATCCTGACCACAATGTCTGCATAGCCTACATTTTCACCAGTTTGTTGTTGTTGTTGTTTTCTGTACAAATTGCCACCCCAGTCTATTAAAGGAATAGTTCAGGCAAAGATTTACTCCCCCCTCAGGCCACCCAAGATTTAGATGAGTTTGTTCTTCATAAGAACAGATTTGGAGAAATGCTCATCAATGCAGTGAATGGGTGCCGTCAGAATGAGAATCCAAACAGCTGATAAAAACATCACAATAATACACAAGTGATCCACACCACTCCAGTCCATCAATTAATGTCTCGTGAAGCCAAAAGCTGCAAGTTTGTAAGAAACAATCCATTGTTTTCACTTCAAACTATTGCTTCCAGCTAAAATATGAGTCTATAATCCATAATAACACTTCCTTCAGTGAAAAAGTCCATCTCCTGATGTCCTCTCATATATTTGCTTAGAACTCTTTTTGCTTGTAAGCGGTGCTTGATCTGTGCAGATTTCTCTCCTGATTCAGATGAGACGACAATATTGGAGAAAACAATATTATGGATAGAAGACTCTATAGTTTGAAGTTTAAAAACGTCTAAATTATTAATTTATTTTGAACACAGCTTTTGGCTTCACAAGACATTAATTGATGGACTGAGCGTGAGTACGTTTTCAGGGGAAAATCCAGCTACAATTTGAACGTGCTTGGCATGATTCCATGACACTTATTGACCTGAGAGACAAAACTGACTGTGGAAGAAGTACTTTATGCATACTGTAGTGACCCTATATTGCATTATCATTATGCATTGCAAAATTTGCCTAGCTGAATCTGAAGTACAATGAGCAGAAGTGAAATCTCGATATGAAACACATAATTAAAGTTCATTACTGAAAATATGGCCAAATAAGACAGATGCACCACTATAAATGTGATCTTGCAGCTCAGTGACTGCAGCATGTTGCATATTTTCTTTCGCCTCTCTGCTCATATCATCTCTCTTTTCAATCTGTTCACTTCACACTGTTATGCTCAGAAGGATCTCTGGACACCCTCATCTCGTTGGAGGTCACAGCATTAGGAGGCACAACACACACTTCTGCTCTTTCAAAGGCTCTGGTTCATGATTTCCTTGAGCTCTGAATGGAATATTTCTTTTGCTCACATAACTTTAACATAAACAACTTCTTCTTCTTTTTTTTTAAAGACAAAATATTTCTCCTTGAAGTATGTTAGAGTTGCATAACAATGGAGATCCAGGGTTTTCAATGCAATATTGTGGGTTCTTTCTCTTTATGGTCTGGATGCATTTTTTGCATCATGTTGAAGCAAAAAAAATCATTCAAATCTCATGGGAAATCTGTATTTCAAGGTATTGCTATATTTTACCTCACAATACTGTATTGATATCCTTTTTTTGTGTGACTTTTTTACATTAATATTTTGTGATGAAGGAGAAGCAGTGAAAATGGAGCTTTGAATTTGTAAAAAAATATATAATTTTTTCAGCATTGATGCAATCAATTGATCAAAAATGACAGTAGAAATTTTTTTTTGAAAAAAAATCCTGTTTCCATAAAAAATATGATCAATGTTTTCAACATTGATGATGATAATAATAATAATAAATGTTTCTTGAGCATCAAATCAGCATATTTTGATCATATGATTTCTGGAGGATCATGTGACACTGAAGACTGGAGTAATGATGCTGAAAATTCAGCTTTGCATCACAGGAATACATTTAATTTTAAAATATATTCAGAAAACCCCTTTTTTAAACTGCAATAATATTTTACAATATTACAGTTTTTACTGTATTTTTATTCAAATAAATGCAGCTTTGGTGAGCAGAAGTAATGTCTTTTAAAAACATTTAGAAATCTTGCCAACTCTAAACTGGAGCTGTGTTTGTTTAGCTCTCTTTCTTCTCACATAATGAAAATATTTCAACCCAAATCAATCTTTCATGTCCATTTATTTATCTATTTGGTAACAATCCATATAAATAACCCATTCCACTACATAGTGTTCATTTTGCCATAATGACCGACTTGTTTGGACATTGTCCTTTAAACTCGTTCGCAGCTCACAGCAGCTCCCAGACACCTCCCTCCCTCTTTGGTCAGCGCTGATTTCGCTGCTAACCAGCTCATTAAAATCTACCCCAACACGTTCGGCCAGAAGCCTGCTCTGAAGTAAGCCCGAAGTGCTCTCTCGACAGGGTTTGTGTGTTGCTTTGAGACTCAGTGTTAACGGTCTGTGTGCTGTGCTTCAGGTCAGTGTATCTCCATAACAACAAGCTAACAGATGCTGGTCTGCCAGAGAACATGTTTAATGGATCAGACAATCTCGAGATCCTCATCATGTCCAGTAATTTCCTCCGTTATGTCCCTAAGGGTCTACCCACCGCCCTCTACCGCCTACACCTGAAGGTAAGACCACTGCGAGGCTCATTAAATGACGAAAAAATGAGTTGAGTCATCATGTACTCAGTCTTATGTCACTTTAAACCACTTTGTTCTCCTAAGAAATACAAATATGCATTGTACAAGGTCTAAAGTGGTATTTTTTTCACAAAAAGCACTATAAATGTGGCTTGTAGGCACTCTATTTAAAATCTTCTGAAGCTATAGATAGTTTAGTGTGAGGAACAGAGGGTTTTGAACTGAAAAGAGCAGCAGCTATTTGAATGTGAGACTAATTGTGCTCTTACGTTTAACAGTTCTTGTGTCTCCGCCCCCTCATTCTCCTCCACCAATCAGAATCCTCGACTAATTGTTCAGGCATGGTTCTCTCAAAGTTACAAATAAATGTTCTTCCAGTATTGTTTATGAACATTTGTTCAGCATTTCATCTGTTCTCAAAACGTTAGTGCAAAAAAATATATATTTATACATTGTACATGGAATGTTTCATGTTTAGTTAGATGTTCTGCTGACGTTATTTAAATGTTACTACATGTTTCAAAATATTCAGAGGACATTAAAATTAAAACATAAAAAATAATATTACCATAGTGTTTGCATGTGCCCTTAATGTCCATGTAAGCAATAATAATAATAAAAAAATAAATAAAGAACTGGACATTTTGAGCGTTCAGGGAACATTCGGAAATAGCGTTTTTATAACTTAATGAAACGTTAGCAAAACGTTCTTAGAACTTATTTTTTGTTAGCTGGGAGTTGTCTAGTCTTTAATAATGTTCTCAAAATGTTAGCACAACAACGTTATTTATACATTGTTCATGAAATGTTTTAGTTTAGTGAAATGTTTTGTTTCAAAACGTTCAGAGAACATTTGAAATTATAAAATGGAACGCTTCCTTAATGTTAAAAAAAATATTTGTAAACTTTTTGAATGTTCACAGAACATTCAGAAGAAACGTTTTCAAAACGTTCTTAGAACATATTTTTTATCAACTAGGTAGTTCCATCTTTTGAACTCCCTCCTCTTCTGTTGTTTTGGGTCTTTAATAGTTTAGGCCTCTATTTGGTGTTTAGTGTCTCTTCGACACCTTTGAGAAAACCATTGCGCTTTAAATGTGAATGAAAACCAAGGTGGTATACTTGCATTACTATGAATGGGAGAAATTGGAGTTCAAAAACCAATACGACCAAATACGTCCCGCCTCCTACATAAAAGAGCCAATCACCATCTGGTAAAGTCACTGCATCACTGCAACTGCCGTTAGAAGCTCCAGATCCCATAAAAAGTGACCAACCTGGAATAAGCTTTTAAATGCCGTTTTAGCATATTAAACAACACTTATGAGATGTTCATGTGAAATTTCATTGAAATATGTTATTGAAATGTGACTTTGGCAAGCAGTTTTTGAGCTTGAGATTTTTTCGTTGTTCCAGCATGAACTAAAAAGCTGTCTGGATGCATTGCACATATGGCCGCCAAGTATTTTTTATTTTGTTTGAGTTTAATTCCAGATGGAATTCTTGTTGTTCAGCCTGCTGGAATGACCTGAATGCAGGTTGTAAATTAATGACTTGGATTTTTTAAATTTTCTTTCAGCCAAATGAACTAATATTTATTCATGTCATTTTGTACATTTGCAGAGTTAAATTAAAATGTTGTATTTTCAATTGCCAAATTCCCCAAGCACGTCCCCATATGCGATCTTTGATAATAGTCTGAAGTAGGTAGTCACTGCAGTGCAGCCAAAAATAAATTTGACAAAAATGATGAGTTCCCCTCCTGATTCCCTAATGCGTCATCTGGTTCAGATCTGACAGAACTGACAGTCTTGTTTTATTCAAATCTGGTGCGTCATGATGTGGTTGTCTCATTGTTAATGTCAAACGTGCGTGGTTTGTCTTGACTAGAGTTTCACAATATGCCACCACCATCAAGTGTGAGCCAATATCTCCCTTTAAAAAATAACTTTATGATAAAAAAATGAGTAGGAAATTGTTTTAGCTTATTTTAAAATTTTAATTACTTCTTACTTCATTTAGTACTGAATTAAAAGGGAAAAGATACATTATGGCAAAGTTTAACCATTTTTAAGAACACATGTTGAGAGGAGCATTTTTTTGTGTGTGCACTAATAAGAAACTTTTTTATACTTTTTATGTAGCAGATTTTTCAAAGAAGCATTTATCCATGTTTCATACTACTAATGATGATAATGATTATAGTGATAAATTTGCTTGTACAGTAGCTTGCAGTTAAGGTTTACTTTGCTTTACTATTTTTATTTTATTCTTTGTTTGGTTGTAGAATTACAATATTAGCAATTTTTTAGTTATCAGCCATGACATAAAAGTAATTATCTATTGAAAATTTCTATTTTATATTTTATGCAAATCCTTCATATTTCTTTTCAATTTTAGATATTCTTCAAAATGTCAACATCGATGCATTGCTAGTCTTGATGCACCATATTTGAATTAAACGAGATTGTCAATAATGGCAAATGTCATTGGTTCATTTACATCAAACCAGGCATTATACGTTTTGATGCAAATTGTTAATTTGGGTGAACAAACCAACTAAAACCTCTTTCCGACATCAAGAGAAATGCAGCAGGACATCAAAACAAAAAGCAAATATAAAATATAAGATACATAATGGCATCATTGCATCAATGCACGTAAAATGCAGTTGTTATTTTTTTTCTGTTTCTATGCAGAACAACAAGCTGGAAAAGATTCCCGCAGGTGCGTTCGATAATTTGTTCCATCTTCGAGAACTTTACCTGCAAAACAACTTGCTGAGTAATGATGGCATGGACAACGAGACCTTCAGGTCAGCATGACTGAACAATCCAAGAAAAACATAATTTACCTCGCACTCTTTCTTCTGCACGGCTCTCTCCTTCCTAACCTTCTTGTACAAGCCCTACCTGAGCTGTAACTGATGAAAACTATCCTGCCTTCTTTCATCAGTCACTTGAAAAGTCTGGAATATCTGGATTTGTCTAATAACAACCTGACCACGGTTCCTCTCGGGCTTCCTCGAAATCTCATCCTGCTTCACTTGGAGAAGAATTCCATCCAAAGCATCACAGTAAGCGCACTGACGTCCATCCGAAACCTGGAGTACCTGCTCCTCCACAACAACCGCCTCCGCTCCCGCTCCATCCATCCGGCCGCCTTCCAGGGTCTCAAACGTCTCCACACCGTCCACATGTACAACAACCTTCTGGAGCGCGTTCCCCGCGGCCTTCCTCGCCGCGCCAAGACCCTCATGCTGCTCCACAACCTCATCACCGAGATCGGACGCAATGATCTGATCACGCTCTACACTCTGACGGAGCTCAACCTCAGCTACAACCGCCTCACCAGCGACAAGCTCCACAGAGAGGCCTTCAGGAAGCTCCGCATCCTGGAGACCCTGGATCTGTCGGGAAACAAGCTGCAGATGCTGCCGTTGGGTCTTCCCAAGAGCCTCCAGGTGTTGAAGGTGAAGGACAATCAGATGACCGAGATACCGGAAGGAGCTATGTCGGGAAACAAGCTGCAGATGCTGCCGTTGGGTCTTCCCAAGAGCCTCCAGGTTTTGAAGGTGAAGGACAATCAGATGACCGAGATACCGGAAGGAGCTCTGATGGGAATGGGTTCGCTGAGGGAGCTCTACCTGACCAACAACCAGCTGAAGCTGAACTCCATCTACCAGGGAGCTTGGCAGGAGCTGAGCGCGCTCACGGTGAGAGATAATCAGTCACTCAAGAAATGTTATGATTTTTACTTTAATGATTAGAACAAAATGTGGCAACCATGTATGAAGGAAAATGGGCGAATGCATTTTAGAGAGCTTGGAAAATTTTGGGCTTGTGGTGGTGCTTGAGACATTACTGGTAATTCAGTTTTTCTGTAAAAAAAAAACCTACAAATAATATGAAACATGATAAATTCTGACAGACTGCTGGGCTCCGGAATAATAATTAATACATATATAGACAAATGGGGTGAAGTTTCTAGATTACAACCTTGACTGACATTATAAGTGAACCTCATGAAAATAAATGATTTTATTTCATATTATTTAATAATGTTTAATAGGCCTAGTTTTTTCCTACTTCTGTTTGTTTTGTTTTCTTTAGTTTTTCCTGTGGGATAAGCATGTTGTTTGTTATCAGCTGGATAAGAAAAGCAGACTCTATGTTCTTAATAAATAATAAATAATAGATAAATAGAAAAATGGGGTAAAGTTTGTCAAGTGATCAACTAGATTACAACTATTTTTGTGCAAGTAACTTTGACTAACATTATAAGTGGACCTCATGAAAATGATTATTTTTTAATTTTGTTTATATTTGATTTTGTATTATTTTATATATTTTAAATAGTTTTTCCATTTTATTTTGTTTTGTTTTGCCTGTGGTGTAAGACTGTAGAGAAAAACAGACTCTATGGTCTAAATAAATACAAATATCATGTTATATATTTTCGTTTATAGTTTTTCAATTCATTTTTTGTTCTATATTTTTGTTTTATTTTTTTGATATTTTGTTTTCCCTATGGGGAAAGCTTGTTTTTCTGTTATCAGCTGGATAAGAAAAGCAGATGCTCTTAATAAATAGCAAATTTATAGGAAAATGGGGTAAAGTTTGTCAGGCGATCAACTAGATTGCAACTGTAATTTTATTTTATTTTGTTTTGTTGCCTGTGGAGTACGTAATCACAGAGAGGGTATTTTCTGTTATCAGCTGGATGAGAAAAGCAGACCCTCTGCTCTTACATGGGGGGAAAAAAGATAAGATATGAAAAGAAGCAGTCTCTTTCATTGCATGATTTCCTAAGAGCTGTTTCCAGCCAAGGAAAGATTCTGCTAGACCGTAATGTCCAATTTCCCATTTCAAAGGCTTAGCCGAGTCTCCCTTTGATAGATGGAGAGAGATGGTGCTTGAACATGTTTTATGTGTGTTTCAGACACTGGATCTCTCCGGTAACATGTTGTCACATGTTCCTCCTGACCTGCCCGAGTCTCTTGAGTTCCTTCACCTGCAGAACAACAGAATCAGCTCCGTTTCAGCCACAGCCTTCCTCAACACACCCAACATCAAAGGCATCTTCCTCAGGTGACTCACAGATCCTTTACTTTCTGTCTTTTCACTCATCTTTCTGTGTTTTTGCATCCTTTAGGTAAAAGTCATAAACGGTTTTAGCAAAACCTGATCAGCACATATAGACTTTTGTCAATTATACTGATTTTGCAAACACATTTTAGGCGTGCAGAAGCGCATGCAGACACTGAATGTTTATGTTTTGGTGTCTAAACTGGATAAAATCCAGACGAGTTCAAACTCTCATGTAAACATGGTTTTCTCGCACGTTGGATTTTATAATGAACTCAGTTTAATAGCTATCAGCATTTTGTTGTACATATAAACACACTCACTGCAAGCAGATCATTTGTGTGCTCAGAGCTGGGCTTTATTGTGTGTTTCTTTTTCTGAAACCGCTTGGATCTCCTCTGCTGTAATGAACTCAGTATTGAAGCTTTCACAGCTGCACTTACTGCCACAATAACGTGAGGCGAGAACATTTCACATAAAATCATACAGTAACAGCGTTCAGACTGTAAACGGAGACTGAGAGCATGTGGAGCGAATGAAAGAACGGACAAAATAGTTTTCTCATCTTGACCTGATTATTGGTTTCAGAAACATGTGAAAGGCAGAGATTTGGACTAGTTTAGGAGCTGGTTGTGTGTTTGCAAAACCAGCAGGTGCCACGGCAGATGAACAAATTACTTTCTATATGGTAGTTATTTGGGGGTTAAATGCGACATTTTTAATAGAATATATATTTTAAAATTACAAACACTCTTTTTATGTAACATTTGACAACGTTTCTGCAAATAGGTCACTATGTCGCAACAATAAATTTTGTATAGCTCATAATAAAATAATATAAACAATATGTATATTTCAGACACCAGTTGCAATAAAAATCATAATAAAAACATATGTACCTCAGTGAAAATACCTCTAAATATTTACTATGAAGAAAATATTTGTTGTCATTAAAATAATAATTCATACTTGTAATAAATCCATTGGTTGAATTTCATAATTTTGAATAATACTAAATAATTTATGTATTTTAATAATGCATTTCGAAGATGGGTTTGTTTAGAAAGGCTGAAAATGAGGAAACGTTGCAATTTATTATTATTATTTTTAATATGATAAACCATTTAAGCAGTGAAGATGTAAATGTTTTTACTGAGAAAAACATGAACAGATTTTTTTTTTTTTTGTTCTTTCAGCTTTGTCACTTTTTCGTAATGAAAAGAGCTTTATAGAAAAAAATGAGATGGAAAAATATCAGGTCATTTCAATTTACAGTAAAATGTTAAGATGTTATATGTTAAGGCACAATGTACTGTAGTAATATAAAGGATTTTTCTATATTTATTTATTTATTTATTTATTTTATAGGTGTTTTATCTATATTTTTAATTTTGCACTTAAAATTGCTGGATAATGTCCTGGCAGAAAATTAACAGTACATTACCATTTTTTTAACCAGTGCAGACCTACTGTACATTGTTCTTTAATCTGTAAAATTTCGGGAGTCTTTTATAAAATTCAAGAAAAAAATATTAATAAAACAATACAGCTTTGCAGGAGCAATATAAAAGGAACAGTTTGTCCAAAAATTGAAATGGCCATTCTGTCACACTGGAAAAAGAAGACAGATGTTCAAGAACATAACATAACTGTTCAATTGTGATGTGTAGCGTTGATTCCCAAACCTAATGCTCATGAGAGGCGGATTCCTCTCAAACATGATGTCCATGCTCTCTACAGTCTATCAACAAAAAGATGGAAGAAAATGAAAAAAAAAACATGGATTCATGTGCGTCAATAAAGCACTCTGTGCTCAGTCTCAAGTGGACAGACATGACTCGATGGACGTTTGTTAATGGACATGCCCTGAGCCATTACAACCCATGTCAGTGCAACTTTTGGGCAATTTAGCTAGTCTGTTTATAAGAGTACAGGCTCGTTCTCGCTGAATTCCTGTTTGATTTGAGAACATGTGACGTTTCAGGATGAAGCCACTCATCTTTTCTGAGAATTCGCTCCACTCGCCGTTTAAACCGGAATGAGCCTGATAGTGTCTTCCAAATGGCTTTTGATTGGCAGGTTTCACTTGTGATGTTTTTGAATTTAGACTTTAAAATCAGCCTTTATGTGCATTAACTCTTTCTCTGCCTCTCGTTCACTTTCTCCCTCAGATTTAATCGTCTCTCAGTTCATTCGGTGTCCGAAGAGTCTTTTTCTCACCTGTCCCAGCTTCAGGTGTTGGACATTGGCCACGGTAACATCTCTCCCAACCGAGGTCAAGCCGGAGAGCAGGTGGAGGAGGAAGAGGAAGAGGAGGAGTTACCATATGAAGAAGAGGAGGCGAAACATTCATGAGTCACGGATGGAAATAACAGTGCCCTGAACTTTCCCTCACTCAAAAATAAAATAAAAATGACAACCAGTTTGAGATTATAAATGCATTGTGGCTGCTGCTGACAGAAAGTGTTTATTTCCAAATGCAGTGTTTGATTACATCTGAGTGCATTGGAAGATATTTTTAGACATGAGAAAGGAAAATACGAATTGTGCTACTGCTAATTTCTGTCTACTAATTTCAAAAATGTGGCTTTATATTGTAACAGATGCAATAGTAAAAGTCATATGCATTAATATCTGGTGCAGGTTGCTGGAAAATTGTATTGGTTGTCTTTTATTTTTTGTTTTTGGGGTGTTTCATTGTGTTTACATGCATACAGCTGTTTTGTGCTATGAAATTATAATTTCTTTCTCCAGAGAACAGACTTTACTGAAAAAAAAGCTTTTTTCTGAAGTCATATAATAGTTTTGTGAATTTAGGTCGAAACTCCTACATCTCATTTCAGATTCAAAAATCATTGTGCAACACTACATTTGATGTTTGACAGTTTTTTGATGAATAACAGCTTAAATTTCAGTCAGTTTCTTATAGAGATCTGTCATATGACTTTCAAGGATTTGTAATATAGCGCTCAGGTGATATGGGCTACAATTAGCTGCTGTGATTTTATTGATTGATTGATTGATTGGAGATTGACCGCTGGATTGTGCACCATTCAGAATCAAACTGAAGCTGTGTTTACACCACAACAATGCGCTAAAAATGTCAGTTTTTCCTTTGTGTTTTCTGCATACAGACAATGTTGGCAAAATGATCCCTGTTCACACAGATCTGCGAAAATAACAAAATGCTAGCAATGCATGTCAGACCAGTAGCTGGCAATGTCAGTTTGTAAAGAAAAACTACACAAACATTTAATACGATGCGCATAGCATCACTGTTTTCACAACTTTGCGTTTTTGTAGTTTACATGGAGATGAAAATGGTAGAATTTTCAAAAACTTTCACTTTGAAACCCGTTTTCAAATGTAAACGCTCCCTTTGAATGCTTTTTAAATTCGTATTCAATGCCTAATCGGAACTGGTAGCAAAGAGGAACCAGAATTTAAATTTGACCCCACCAATCCAATTTAAAAGAATGAAAAAAGTTCAGAAAGCCTTGAAGTTTGAGTATTTTGAAGGCTTTAAGGCTGGGACACACCAAGCAGACCTCAAAGAACTAGCGGCGACGAAAGCCGACGGTGTTGTCGCCTCGCATCGGCAGCGTCGGACCAAAAAGCTGAGCTTGAACACACCGTACAGCCGAAGGCAAACTAACACATGCGTTCTGTGCATGGGGGTCGGGATCCTCGGCGGCCCTGACGCCGATTCGCAAACTGCCGCCGACGTGAGCCTGACGAGAGCAGACGAGTGGAACATACCAAACAAACTAGCCCGACCGTTGCTCGCCGTCGGCCCGACGTTGGCCCACGGCCAACCGTCGGCTTGGTGTGTCCGGCCTTTAAAGACAGATTTATGGGTTGAAGGGTTGAAGAACACTTAATTCCCCAGAATGCACCCAAAATTCCTATTTCTTTTAATTACATGGAAATTTAACTTTCTGTCATTTCAGTTCAAGTTCTTGTCAGGTTATACCAATTTTATTCAGTTTGAAAACTTTTTTGGTCATTGTGTAGAAAAGACTTCAAAAATTCTCCTTTTTTTGGACTCGTTGGGAAACAGGAACATATGAGGGGGGGGGGGGGGGGGG